GCGCAGCCCCGTGGAAATCAACTCTCTGAGTATGGTCACCACGGCCACGCCCACGGCAGACCTACTCTTCGCCCACTGCTCCCTCTGCGGTGCCTCCCTGCTGCTCCCCTCCCCTCCCCCCCCCTCTTCTCATTCCGTTCCTCCTCCTCCCGCTGGTCCCTCTCTTGCTCCTCGCGTTGCCCCTCCCCCCGTCCACTGCCCTGGTCCTCACCCTTCCATCCCCCCCCGGTCCCGCTCATCCCGTTCGTCCCCACTGCCTTTGTCGGACACGAAAAGCAACACGTGCGCCGCAGGTGCTGTGCGTGAACTTGCAACTGTGCGACGTCCCCCTCGATTTGCGAATGTGACCCTTGCGCAGGAGCCATGCTAAACGAACTTCCCCGATGGAGGGCCTGCAAAACGACAAAAAAAAGGCAAAACGCCTGCAAAACGACAAAAAAAAGGCAAAACGCTTGGTACTCTCCACGTGCGCAAAAGACAAAAAAGATGGCAATGTATTTCTCCGTGTTCTAGCAGTGGATTCAGTCTCATTCGCACATTTCGAGAGCAGTGCAGCAAGGCCCTCAGGCCAAAATGAAAACAACGGGCCCGCAAAACGACAGAAAAAAGAAAAAAAAGGAGGAAACTGGCAAAACGACAAAAAAAAAGAAACTAAACAAACGAACAAAAGGGAACCTGTGTATCTCCCCATGTTCCGGGGCAGATTCAGTCTCATACGAACGACCGGTGTATCTCCCCACGTCGCGGCGCTGGGCGCGAGAAACTTCCGGAACCACGCCACGCACGAGGAGGGGGGGGAAGAAGCACTCTGTCCCTGGGCAAATTCAATATCAGATGGGGGTAAATCCCCAAAGCCGGATGGAGAAGACGCAGAAGAGTATTCTGTTTCCTGATGATGATGCACTCCATTGTCATTTTCATTTTTAGGGTTTTTTTATGCACACCTTTTCTAGATATCCTCTCAGGCTCTCTGTTATCCTTGGCCATTATCTGCAACATGTGATTTCCCATTGCTGCAGCTGCTGCTGCTGATGGTGATGATGATGATGATGATGAAGAGGAGGAGGAGGAGGAGAACGAGGAGGAGGAGGAGGGGGAGGAGGAGAACTGGATAATTGTACTATTGGACGAGGAGGACGACGAGGAGAACGAGGAGGAGGAGGAGGAGGAGAACTTGATAATTGTACTATGTTTCTCTTTTATGAATTTTGTTCTTTTTGTTTCTCCTCACAGTCTACCCGGAGTGACCGAACCGAGATTGCTGAGAACTGGGCTCAGCGTCCCTCATATGATGATGATGATGATGATGATGAACTTCTGCTGAATCTATGTAAACTATGAGATAATCATACTAGTGATGATGATGCTAATGACGATGGGTTTCTTTTGAACAAGGAAAAGGCAAGCTTAGTTGTGTAATATCATCTTGACTTTTTTTCCTGCGCTTCAATAAAGTTCATTTGTGCTTTCGTTCATCACTGATATATATGCTGGGGCCAGAGCTGACACGTGCACATCGTGCATATTGATGTATTATTATATTTGAATGCGTGATAATGAAAATGATGCTTGCTCCGTTGTTGCAGGAGTCAAATCGGTGGATATAGATCTCGAGCAGCAGAAAGTGGTCGTAACGGGAGATGTCGACCCAGAAACAGTCCTCCAGAAAGTGGCGAAGATCGGAAAGCCAACCTCGTATTGGACGTGACACGACCAGTCAGCGTCAGATTCAGTCGTCTATGGCTGGGAATAAACTGGAGATGAAGTGTTCTCTGAAAGGAAGAGATGAGAGCGAGGGAGGATGGTGAAGGGGAACGAGGGAGGGGGGTGGGGGGTGGGGGCTGGGGGGCCGAGGATGCAGACAGATGTCTTGGGGTTAGCATTTGCTTTTGCCTTCCTCCCCCCCCCCCCCCCCCCCCAAGCAACTCCAAAAGGTTAGCAACTTTGCATTGTTGGAAATTGGCCACTGAGCTCTTTGTTGCAGTTTTCCGATGGAACTACACACCTTTTTTTTAAGGGGAATTCTGACCCTGAGGTTTTCAGGTGTCTGATGGCACACCACACACTCTTCTTTTTGCTTAGGGGAATGGCTGGATCGTGGGTACTGGAATTTATTTCTCCTTTTTTTTCCCTTTCCCCTTTTTTTTTTTTTTGGTGGTGGTGGGGGGGCGGGCGGCGCAACCTCTAGAGCATGACCCAGGCAATTCGGAAAAGTTCATACTGCGGTCGTCTTTCATTGCTTAGCCGGAAAGCGGGTCCAGCGTCCCTCACATCAACAGAATGTCAGGCCAAAATCAACCAGTTAGCACCCAAAAGAGGGTGCAGGCAACAGAGAAACACGAAAACTACTATATACAGCAGATCACTATACACTCGAACTTACTATGAACCACAAGCAGAGGGCCTGCCCCCCCGAGCCATGGACCAATTTTTTCCTTTTTTTCCCAACATCACTGGATAATCATTTTCCGAGGCTGGGAAGGTGGGGGGATGCCAGTTTTTTTTTTTTTTTTTCCCCTACAGGTCTGAGACTGGATTGAGGGACTGGAGGTTTTATTTGATTTTACTATTATCCTACCTCTTAAGCGACATTAGCCGCGGGCTGGGAAGGTGGGGGGATGTCAGTTCCCCC